AGGGTTTATTTTTTAAAGCCTAAACCCTGAGGATTTAACATCCTTTCCTAAATTACAATTTGCATACTTGCCTATTGAAAGTGCCAGTGCTGAATATTCTTGTTACCTATACAAAGTTATTCTTTGAGCCTTGCTGAGCCCTTGACATCAGCAGATAATATAAACTAGGAGAAAATATTTGTGCCAATTATTTTAATTTAATGAACATATAATGCAGCTGTGAATCAGTAGTACTTTGGCAAGAGAGATGCTCTGGTAAAATTTGAAGTCGTCTAGAAAGATCATGAGATTATTTTGAGATTAACAAATCAGAGGATAGTCCACTTTAGTGGCATGGAAAATCACGTTTGTGATTTACCAAGTGCAATTTTTTCCAAATTCATTTTAGAATATGAAAAATAGAGCAGATTGAGGGGTGAAAGGGAATTATATGAAAGCAGCAACGCAAAATCTGCAGCAATGCTTTTTGTACTGTGAATTAAAATACATATCTGCCTAAATCCCTCTATGCAGCAACACTGTCTTAAGAGAGGTGTTCTCCTATTTTTAAGGTCTGAATTATTTGATGTTGAGCTGGAGAAGTGCTAGGTAAGTATTTCATAACCTTGGTAACTATAGGCTGTATTGCTAGTATGCATCATTCTAGACGACACTGTGACAAACATACCCAGCTAATAACACACTAAAGCACTAGAGTCCATTTTGCATCATTGCATTTGTAGTGACTAACTGAGTCCAAATTACTCCCTCAGTCCGTTAATAATCAAAGAGACAAAGAGAAAAAGACAGAAGATAAAAAGTTAAGGCTGCAAATAGCCTCGAGTCTGGCAAATGATGGTTAAACTTCTTGTCCTTCGTAACTATGGAAACCCCTTAAGGTAAGAGTGGAACACAGGCATTTTGTGGTCTGCAATTTACAAGCTGTTTATTTAATTATGAAGGAATATGAAACTGTTAGGGGCAATGCAATTATCATACTGTGATAGCATTTTGGTTTAAAAAAGTAGGTACAGAGAAACAGGAAGTTAATTTTTTGGAAAATTGCTTGTTTTAGGACTTTATGAAACTGCAGCACATTGTTTTTTACTGGGAGTTGATTTTTTTTTTCCAAAAGGGTGTGAGGAGCCAAAATTAGTAATATGACATTTCGCAATAATATACCTCCATAGATTCATAGCAATTATGTCCATTCTATGGCCAGTGAACAAAACCAAGGTCAGAGTGTATTTCAATTAAACCCTAGGTGTTACCAAAGTGCAGCACAGCCAGAACAGCAAGCACATTATTACCAGATCTATCACCGCTGAGCAATGAATAGGTCACAGGTGCTCTTGCATACAGTATTTGTACACCTTTGAATATTACAAGTGGGAAAATGTTTCAATTCAATTTAGGAGGCAGCAAGTGAACTAAAATTAGGAGTGAAACTATGTGATAACTCATGGGACCTATAACAACTACCTACAAGTATTTTCCTGGATCTGAACAACATGCTCTGACCTGATAATTCTGTCAATGGGAGTTGCATAAACGCAGCATAAACGTAGGGGCTGCAGTGCCCTTTACACACAATGGCATTTTGACAACAATCCATCCCTGACTGGATTGCCTTAATAAGACATCAAACATAAATGCATCCTCACAAGGCCTCTGGAAAGGGGATAGGTAATACTATTTCCAGTTTATAACTGCCGCCCCTGAGGCATTAATACATTCAATCAACTAGCAAAATATATCATAGGTCTACATGATATTTTGCAAACATGAGCTCCACACTCTATGCTGCCTAGGTGCAGGTTCCTCCAAATTACAGCCATGTAGCAATGGATTGTTGCTGACCCTGAGCTAATGCGCCTCGCAGCACTGCTCCAGCGTGGCCCCGAGAGCATGAAGAGAGCCTGCATCGGAGCAGAGCGAGGACGATGCCTGCTCACAGCAGTCCACAAGAGACCATGTGGATATGCGGTAATGAAAGTTGCAAGCAGCACATGCAGAACCAAGACTCAGAACTCCAGAATCTCATTTCCACAGGAACATACGCTTTGTGTGGCTATTAAAGGGTGTGATGACGTTTTAAAAGACCAATATGCTATGACATTTAAAACTAAATTTGATAAAATATTAGAAAATGTTCTATCCTATTCCACAGATTCCTGTATTACTCTGATGATAGTATTTGAACACCTTCCGGAAATGCATTAAATACCTAAATCTGTCTTTTCATCTGTGTATTCTTTCTCTCATCTCTTCTCCTAAAGAAGGACTGTATTCAGATAGTGTTTTGTTTTGTTGGTATTAAGTATCTACTCCTAGCTGTTGCTACTATACACAGGGCAAGTTTGAAGAAATACACTGTGGGCTTAGAATGATAATTTACAATGTTTGTTATACTTTTTATCCTTCCTGAAACTCGTTGGATATCTCATAAGAAATGTTTCTCTCTTCTACCAAAAGACAGACCACAGAGGCTGGTAACACTGGATCATCTGGGACCCAGTCCAATTCTTCCTACAGTGGGAATTGGCAGGGATTGCTGGGGAGCTACTGTCACCTTTTCCCTGCAAGCTGCTCCCAAAGCTTTCTCTCCCCAAGGCTCTCCAATATATGTGCTATGATCTTCTGATCCTTGGCCACAGAAAGGTTTTTGTATAAGCATCACATCTGATAGGGTCTTGGCAAACTCTGAACAAGCTATTAAATGTAAATGTTTAAAAGAATCAGAAAGAAAATTGCCGCCATAGAACTGAACAAGTGGCAAAATGTGATGTTTCAAACCATTATCCTTTGGGGAGAGCTATCCAGGAGAGATTCAAATCACTTGAGAAAGAACAGTAACTCACATTCAGGGATCTATCTGCACTAGCTGAGGGAGGAAAGGGAAGAAAGGAATAGCAAAGAAGTTCAAAGCTGTTTCACATGCAATTAGGCAAACCTTCTTTTGGAAGTCCATACCATTCCATGATAACGTGAACTCAACCTCTCTCATCTACCCAGATCATATCCTCTCGAATGTCAATCCTACTGATCCAACATCTGTTTCTTACCTAGTAAAGAACTGATGATGTTTCACATATCACAGTAGTTTTGAAAGATAGCGTGTTCCATAACTAGTTTCACTCTAAAGTGATTCATTTCTAATGTTTAATTACTAAGAGCCAGTAATGACAGCGTTAACCCCTTGCATATGTTTGTATAAAGCACAGTTACAGAGTTAAGTATATGTGAAAGACGACATTTCAAATATGGAAATGATTCACACTGTGATTTTACACTGCCCTTACCAGGTGAAAAGATCATTTTTCCATGATTTACTAATCATTTACTTTGGTCAAGTGCTGGAAGCAGAACCTGATCCACCAAAAAGACATGAGTAATTCGAATTTTTGAACTGTGTTGTCTACCTTGAGCACTGTAAATAAAAATAATAATGTATTTTCACTTTGAACTGTTTTAATTTTATTTAAATGTTAATTTCAAAGGAACTTGCTAACACTGGAGCGCTCTGTTTCTACAAGCTTTGAACTGAGGCACTAGCACGCTTCTGCATCATGGATTTCAGTATGTTTTTCCAGGATATCCAAAACACAGCAGTGCATATCTCCACAGAGTATAGACTGATTCACAAATTGATAATGCAGATCTGCATGGAAAAATTAGCATTAATAAAGAAAGCTCTTTTGAATGCAGCAGGGTGAAACTCAAAGGCTCCAAAGGAGTTTGTGACAGGCAGTGACAAATTACATGAGTTATTTTCTTCCTATCCACATCATCTATAAATCCAAGAATCATAAAGATAAAGTGAGAAGAGGTCCACCACGATAAGTCTTACAGAAAAAACTAATAGATTACTTCATATAGACATGTTTTGTAAACTGACAAATACACCTTAATGTGACGGAATATTTTCTTTATGTAGGCCCCTTATAGACCATTTATTGAAATAATTAGCCTAATTCAAAGTACTATAACATCAGTATGAGATTCATATTGATGTAGGAAAGTTAACATATACCTTTTAAGCAAATGAGCAGTTTCATTGATGTACTATTTATCTGCTTCAAGTTAAACAATAAGATAAAATGTCCAGTATCAGAAATACTGTCTGCATGTTCATCTATTCAGATTCTGAAGTGCTGATACAGTATTCTGTATTCATCAGCTGACCACAGACGTCCATTTTTAACCAGACCATGAGAGAAAATCATGGGGGGAAAAACAGCTCCTGCAGAAGTCAATGGGAGTTTTGGCTTTGATTTCAGTGGAAGCAGGACTCCATCTCATATGTTAGTAAGAATTTGCTACACAAAGCCAACTGCAGATTATTGTTGATGTAAGTACGAGGGCTTTAATGCCACTCTTTTAGGATAGTTTTTATGGAGATGGAAATTTAATTTTCATTTAATTAAAACTGTCACACAACATAAAAGGAAAAGGAATAACTGAGCTAGCTAAAAAGACAGAGTTCATGTAAGTGAAAGCGTGCTATGAAACAAAAATAATTTTATATTTTAAATTATTAAGATATTACTATATTGGATTCTTAAAAGATTCCAAGCCTTTACACTGCTAGTTCAAATCCTTTCAAATATGTATATCAACAGAATGAATCCAGAGTTCAAAACATATTTGAAAATTCTCTCTTCAAAGCAGAAAACATTTGATAGCTGATGCTATTCAAGGATCTATATATATGCCTGTTTGCAGTAAAGCTTTCCATTACTTTGCTGACTTGTATAGCAGTACAAATCTATTTATTACAGACAGCAGTGATACTACCTATTATTAAGGATGTCCAACATCTGCCATTACAAAACACCACTTCCAGTTTCTTACAACTTGGTAAAATTCTAGCCATTTACAGATGAAATGTTCCATGCTAGGGATATAGCTACACTATATTCACCGAAGGTTATACAGAACTACTTGTAGCTTTAAAGCAGTTGGCACACCTTATAGTAGCAAACAGTCACAAAACCAAGGAGCTCATTGCTGGTACATACCCAAGTACTAACTTCAGGTTGTCTTTTCATTCTGTGCAGTGAATTACACAGGGTTCCTATGAGAAAAATATGATCTCATTATGTAGTTAAAGATAGTATTAAAACATATACAAGGCAGCCAACAAAGTTTGAACACAAACACAGGTATTTATGTATACACATGTATCCATAATATCCTTTGTAAATTATAGATCAGCACTTTCTAAAAAACTATTTCTTTCCTACCAAGATAAGAGCAAAAAAAGTATTTTCTAAATTTTTAACTTCCAGTTAGTGCTCAAGCCAGAGAACATCAAAAATATAGTTGAGTGACAAATACTAATGTAACCAGATCTCTCTGGTTGACAACTTTTTCTTTGATTCTTTTCCATACCATCTACTCCAGTATGATGCATGATAAATAGATTAACAATTTGCAGACAGTTATTAGTAAGGGGATTATTTAAGCACTTCAAGTAGACAAATACACTGATAAAGCAGCCCTCCCAAAAGTATGCTGGTGAAGCCTTTTGGCATCATCAGGCCCTCTTCTCTTACCAGACTATTTCACACCAGTTTCATGTGGTTTAGGGCTGCCTATGAGCAATGATAACTGTAAGTGCTTACCAGTGTAAGCACTAATGTTGCACTGAAATACGAGTGTTGTACAGTGAGTGTATATATCCCCAGCACCACTCTGCCTTGGAGATCTTCACCACATAGTGGACCATTCAGTCTTACAGAAGCTTACAAAATTAAATGTAGGCTACCTTTTGCTATTTGGCTGACGTTTCTAGCTATACCCACTTGTGCAAACATGCCTAATGGTGGCTATCACCAAGTAATTGGCTGTCAATGTCTAACCTCAATCTGTAAGAATGATCTCAAAACCTGGGTTCCAGTACCTTGGGAAAAACATCTTCATTTGCTTATTCACATTGCTGTCCATATGCTCAACACTTAGGAAAGCTCAGGAGCTGACAAAACAGTAGCAGCTAGAACCAGTGAAGACTGCCAGGACTATAAAGGCTTTAGTCTCACAGTGGAACTTCACAGAAGCACAGAAATGTCTTTTACTAGACCTGATTTCTGGACTGGGATCTAAATCTCAAAAGGATTTCAGTGAAGACAGGAGGGCTGCTGGGTATCAGAGATAAGGAGTAAGCAGGGATTTAAGAACTTCCTATGCTACTGGAGCCATAGCTCTAAAGCTGACACTATCAGGGAGAGGATGACAGAAAAACGAAAATGTTTGTATGTGAGCTCTTCTATGGCTCTGAGGAGAAAAGAAACATGAAATACACAGCACATTCCTGTGGCTTCTCTTCATTTTAATACTTTCCATTCCAGAAGTATGAAGGCAATTTTCTTCCTCATAATTCTGCAGAACTTCATCTAATCCTTACATGGGTGAACTGGTATTGCTCCATTCAAGCCAATGAAACCAGACTGACTTTTAGTCCAGCTGAAGTTTGGGACCCTTGTTACCCTCTAAATTAGACTGACCTATTCTTGAGGAATATTGGGAGGTTCAGATAACTAACCGCTAAGAAAACGTAGCTTCTATAAAATAGGCTCCAACTGGTAGAGATAAGATGAATCCTTTTGTTTTAACAATAAAGGAGATCTGTGTTCTGATTGCTGAAATGCTGAGGAGGGTAATAGCACATTAGAAGACTGGATTTAGTTTTAGATCATGAACAATGACTTGATTTTCTTCTAAACGATAAGTCGTCGTCTTTCTTTCTTGCTTTTTTATTCTTTAATACCATGAAATACAGGGTTGCAATGGTAGCTATGAAATAATAGGTATCAGACATGCCATGTGATGAATCAAGAGAAGTTCTTATCTCTGACGTTTACAGTGTGTTATAACTGGGGTATATGGGCTTTAGGAGGCTTTACACTAATAGGTGATAATAGCTTACAGTTATGTAGTGACTTTTATGTAGAAGTTTTCCTGTGAGCTTTAAATCCTACACTGACAAACAACATACAGTGTATCACAGTCACCTTTTTATCCACCAAAAAGCAGCTATTTCTAGAGAGAAGCATAGTAGCTATTTTATAGTGTATTGTGTTATATCAAGAAATACTGAAGACTGCTGCCTTCAATTCAAACTGAAGGCATATTTTTGGAAATATGGGATATTTATCTACATTGAAATTTGACCTACAACAGCAGGGTAAACTTCCCTACTGTTTTGGAAGGCGAATTTTGGAAAGAAGGCCTAACTGCAAGTGGAGTGCATTTCTCATTTACTTGTATCATGCTAGAGAACAGTATTTCTGTTAGTACAGCACTAGAGAGCTGCTGTAGGATTAGCCTGGAAGAACAACTTCCTATTATGGAATTGTTCTCGGTCTTGAGACCGAGACATAATGGCTCTTTTTCAGGACAGACAACAAGCTTGGTATCCAGTATGAGAAGACCAAAATTTACAGTCTTTACTCGACAGTAACATATGCATACTGGTACTCAATCTATCTATCAGTACTTGTAGAAAGATGTGCTAGACAGTGTCTCTTATCCTGATAGATGTCTTCAGTGAGCCAGAAAATGAGAGATTACTTGGGAGAAAGATAGCCATGCCTTATCTTACTTGTTCTTTAAGACGAAGACAAATACCACAAGGAAGTAGCCATCATCTGGTAGAATTTATGAAAATTCAGTATCTATTCTTTAGGCTAGCTTCAGCAACTGAAGCTTCCTTTCTACTCAGAATGGGAACAAGTTAAAGCTCTGTGGCAAATATGGGGATTTAAAGTCCTCTCTATAGGTAACTACAAGTACAAGAGAACAAACGTATATTAAATTTTACCATAATTCTTTACAACTGTTTAAAGAGGTAGAGTTTGCTGCTGCTCCACAAAGCAGCCCATCAATGTAAACAGCAGGACTGCAGTATACTGCAGTCAGCAAAACAGCCTTAATAGTCTCTCCTTAATATATTGAAGTAGCATAGCAAGACACCTTTCAATTTAATTAGGGGTCTGTTAGGAGCTTATAATCTAAAACTTCATTTTTCCTTCTTAAAGAGTACTAAATCCTCCTTTTAAAATTTCATTTACCTGCAGTTTGGTGTCAAAGTTGTCCGATTTTTTTTTTCCTTAAACATAGTACAAATTGCTAAATCATTTAAAAATTATGTAGCAGCAAAAAGCACAGATTTTTTCTTTTAATGGTTCAGGGTGCTTTTTTCTCACCAGGATCCCTCACATTTACACTAAATACAGCTTCATTTTTCAAAATGAAATTTAACAAGCTGTACTTAAGAGTGAGAAAGGCACTTACTAGACTAAATTCAATTGCTCTTCACTGCTATTCTTTATCTTCCAATTTTTACTGAAAGGCAAAGTAAGAACGTACTAGGGAGTGAAAAGAATAATTTCATTAGTGGCTGCTGAACAGCGAATGCAGCCACAGCAGACATTACACCTGAAAGTTGGTGTAGTTCTGCTACTGTCCTCTTGAAATTCTTTGTTTCTCGAACTTGGCTCATGGATTCTGAGCAGGCAGTCCCTTTACTTTGCTCCCTTGTAACCTGCCAGGACTAACGCCGACTCCCTTTACAACAACAACACTTTCACTTAATTTATCTCCCTGTATTGGCGACATAAGGTTTATAGCTGGGTGCAAATTCCAAAGGGACCACTTCTGATTTTTTTGGCATTCATTGTTTCCTTTCTCTCACATACTAGCATGAACTAGCAATACTATCCCAGGAAGAGGCCTTAAGAAGACCTTATGCCATATGAAGGTTACAGGCCATGTCACTCTGCCCAGCATATGGTGCAGTAATCATCAGTGACATGAATAATTACAAAGATCCAGGCTTTATACTTCAACTACAGTAATCTGACTCTTCATCCCTCTGGAAAGAAAAAAAAGTTCTCTTTTCTGAATACACACTGAATTTTGCTATTTGGGGACATTCTTTTAAGAAGCAGTTTCCAGTTCAGTTCAATGCATGAGGATCAGGTCATTCAACACAAAATTAATTGCAGTTATGGCTGGGGAACCAAGGCTTGATAATACAAAGTCCTGACTGTGCTGTAATACTGTTTACTGTCAAAAGTAAAATTCACAGGCCAAATCCACAGCATGTATAAATCAGTGCAGCTTCACTGGCACAGGATCTGGCTCACTGCATCCATTTAGATGGATTTAGATTTCTCAGTTCCCTGATTCTACATTTTTGTCCAAGTGCTGATGACAGACAATTGAGGATGAATGGACTTACACTAAAAGAAAAACAGCAAAAAGGGTAACCACTCTCTTAGTTCATTGTTAACAAAATAGCAGTTGTTAGATACAGGGATGAAAATTGGCATTTTTAATATGTATAGCATTTAGTTCATTACATTCACAGAAAAATTATGTTTAATGCCATACTGCTCAAAAGTGTTTGATTTTTATCAACAGAAGGGTCACAAAATTGCCCTACAACTTTTCATGTCTCTGTCCTTCAGGATGACTATTGGATTTCTGTAACAAAAGAGGATTCTAGAAGCTGTGGATTAAATGATGGCAATTATGAGGAATTCAGTGTTTAATACTGGTGAGTCTTCTCTCTGGAATTAGGGCACTAAATGGTGGAGATTATTAGCACCACTGATGCATTATGACTTGCCCAAGCTATATGATCAGTAACTAACAAATTCAGGATCAGCACTCAAAGGTCCTAAGCTCAAGCTTTCTCTTTTCATCTAACCCCTACTGTCCCCTAAATAATATTAAATCCACCACAGGTTTACTTTCATGATCAGGTATTACATGTTCAGTTGTTTTGAACGGCAGAAATCAAATGATCACTTCTTACCTCCCCTATTTGCCCAGACTTCTCACTCAAGGACAACTGATGTGCCATTTACCAAGGAAATGATTAAGGATATTTCAAAAGTGAATCAGAACGATTCCTTCCATAAGTTTCTATTACATTTTTAATGCTTTAAAAATGTGTCATGATACATTTTACATGTTTCTCTGCCATTTTTATCTTCAGGGAAGTGCCATATACCTTAACAACATTACATTTTCATATGAAATACACAGAAATCTCTCCTTTCTGTTTAA